TTTGCCCCTGTTAACTCTGCCTTTTGAATAAATAATTCTTTAAAATCAACTCATATTCAGTCCAGAGTTCTCATAGTGTAGCCTATGGACCTCTGAAGGTCCCTAAAACTCTTTCAGGGGGGTCCATGAGGTAAAAACTATAATATATATCAGTAATATAACATTATTTGTTTTTTGGGCTTTTTTAAAATTTTGACAAGTAGAGTTATAGACAGAGAGAGACAGAGAGAAAGGTCTTCCTTCCATTGGTTCACCCCTCAAATGGCCGCCACTGCGCAGATCCGAAGCCAGGAGCCAGGTGCTTCCTCTTGGTCTCCCATGCGGGTGCAGGGCCCAAGCACTTGGACTACCCTCCACTGCCTTCCCGGGCCACGGCAGAGAGCTGGACTGGAAGAGGAGCAGCCGGGACCAGAATCCGGGGTACCGGCGCCACAGGCGGAGGATTAGCCAAGTGAGCCACAGCGCCAGCCCCTTTTGTGCTTATTTTCATTTATTTGACGACCAGAGAGACATACAAAACAAGCAGAGCCCTCATCTACTGGTTCACTCCCCAAGTGCCAACAATGGCCAGGACTGGGCCAGGCTGATGCCAGTGCTGGGAACTCAATCCAGGCCTCCCATGTGGTTGGCAGGGACCCAATTACTTGAGTCATCACTGCTGCCTCCCAGTGTTTGCATTAGCAAGAAGCTGGAATCAGGAGTCAGGGTCTAGACTTGAACCCAGGTACTCTCAATATGGAATGCAGTTGTCTGTTAGGCCAAACATCTGCCCCTATTATATGCCTTTTTCACTGGCATGACAATTGTCTGATGGTACAAAGGCAATGGTGGGTAAAATTGCTGGCACTTTAGCGATAAATGGTACTATTAGTAATATGTTCTTCATTATACATTCAAGGGGTTTTTTCAAGGTAGTTTAGTTTCCTTTATCCTTGTTGAAGCAATAAAGATGATAAATTTTATTAACTCTCAGCCCCTGTGCACACATCTTTTTAATATTCTGTGTGATGAAATTGGCAGCATGTGTAGCACACTTGGCCTGTATACCTCAACAGATGGCTGGCTGGAAGCAGAAACACTTGTTAGTGTCCTGCACTGTGTGCTCAACTAGTCTTAGTCCATGGTACACAACATTTTTACTTGAAAGAACAACTGACAGACAAATTATAGTTATTCAGACTTAGCTATCTGGCAGACATTTTTTCAAAAAAGAACTTCAAGGAAAACAATTCAGTATTTTTCGCCTGGAACAAAACATGAGCTTTAAAGTGAAAACTGGAATTGCGGAAAACGCATCTGCCACCGTGAGCATGACAGCTTCCCAATGCTTAAAGATTTTAATGAAACTGGTTGTGATAGTAACACATATTTTTACAAATGTATTTATCTGAAAAGCAGAGAAAGACAGATGGGCAAAGATCCCCCCATCTGCTGGTTTAATCCCCAAATGCCCCCAGCAGCCAGGGTTAGACCAGGCTGAAACCAAGACCCAGGAACTCAATCTGGGTCTGCCCTGTGGGTGGCAGAGACCCAGTCACCTCAGCCCTTACCTGCCTCCTCCCAGGAGGAAGCAGGAAGGTGAAATCAGAAGCAGAGCCAAGACGCGAACCCAGGCACTCCAATATGGTATGTGGGCATCCCACACAGCATCTTAACTGTCAGGCATAATGCTTGCCCCAATACATATTTTTAATACTGCATAATTAAAGTGTCAACATTTGGAAGATCTGTGTAACCCAGTTATCCAACATGTTCTAAATGACTACTGTTATAAAACTGGATAGGTAAAAAAATAGTCAAAATGCAACACAGAGCAGTGGATTTTCCGTTATGTAACAGAGTACAAAATGTTCGTTGATAGGGTCTCAGATTCCACAATGCAACAACCTATAAGAAACTCAGACTTCCCAATGTATAAATGAGTAGGAAATACACACAAATCTGGAAAGGTCATTAAACGTACTCCTCACTTTTCCAATGGCGTATCTGTGTGAGGCTGAATTTTCTCACACACTTCGATCAAAACAACATATCACAAAAGGCTGAGTAACGCAGCACACAGGGGAGCCCAGTCGTCTTCTACTAAAGAGATTTGCAAAAAGGTAAAACCATGCCTTCCCCCTCACTAAATGTTTTTGATTTGGAAAATACAGTGATTTTTCATGAACAGTGTGGTAGTTATATACATCAGAAATGAACGTATGCCTATTATCTCAATTCATAAATATTAAATACCTCAGTTTTAATTCTAATAAGGTAAATATTGATAGACTTAACCCCCAAAACAAAAGTTCTTTAGGGTTCTCAATACCTTTTTTTTTTTAATTTTTTGCCAGGCAGAGTTAGACAGTGAGAGAGAGAGAGAGTTATAGACAGTGAGAGACAGAGAGAAAGGTCTTCCTTCCATTAGTTCACTCCCTAATGGTCGCCACGGCTAGCGCTACACCGACCCGAAACCAGGGGCTGGGTACTTCCTCCCAGTCTCCCATGCGCGTGCAGGGACCCAAGCACTTGGGCCATCTTCCACTGCCCTCCCGGGCCACAGCGCCCCAACCAGGACTAGAAACTGGGGTGCCAGCACCACAGGTGGAGGATCAGTGAAGTGAGCCACGACGCCAGCCTAGGGTTCTCAATACTCTTAAGAATTTACTTATTTTTAATATTTTTACTTTTAAAAGACAGAGAGACAGAGAGGCTTGCACTGTGGCACAAGTAAGTTAAACCTCCACTTGCAACACGAGCACCCCATATTAGAGCACTGGTCCGAGTTCCAGCTGCTATACTTCAGATCCAGCTCCCTGTTAATGCACCAGGGAAAGCAGTAGAAGATGGTCCAAGTGCTTGAGCCCCTACCACCCATGTGAGAGACCCAAATGGAGTTCCAGGCACCAAACTTCAGCCAGCCTGAGCTTGATTGTTGAAGCCATTTGGGGAGTAAATCAGTGGATAGATCTCGATCTCTCTCTCTCTCTCTCTCTCTCTCTGAAGCTCTGCCTTTCTACTTAATTAATTACATGGACAGAGACACACAGACAACAAGACATCTTTTGTCCACTGGTTCACTCCCCAAATGCCTGCAATACCCAGGAGTGGACCAGATGGCAAAAACTCAATCAGGTCTATGTTGATGCCAGTGACTCAACTACTTGAGGCATCCTCTGTTCTCTGCCAGGGTGCACGTCAATATGAAGCTAGAATCTGAAGTGGAGCCAAGACTAGAACCCAGGCACTCCAATTCAGGATGTGGGCATCTCATGCGACATCTTAACGACTATACCAAATACAACCCTCACTTTTTAAGAATTTTAAAGAAAAGTCACATTCAAATTGGGTTTTTCTGCTCATCAAAGTACTTTAAGAAAAGATTTATGAATTTGTTTATTTGAAAGGCAAAATGACAGAGAGAGGGAGGGAGACAGAGAGAGAGAGAGAGAGAGAGAGAGAGAGAGAGAGAGAAAGAGAGATCTTCCACCTGCTGGTTAAATCCCCAAATGACTGTACCAGCTAGGACTGGGCCAGGCCAAAGCCAGAAGCCGTCCTGGCTCCCACTTGGGCCATCGTATCACTGCCTTCCCAGGTGCATTAACAGGAAGCTGGATTGGAAGCAGAGCAGCCAGAACTCAAACCAGTTCTCCAATATGCACTCCAATATGAGAGCCAGAGTTCCAAGCAGCAGCTTAACCTGCTGTGCCACAATGCCGCCCTCTCCACAGTATCTGAGTCTACTAATAAATGGAATCAACACTGGAAATGACTGTGGGTGCCTAAGCCAGACTCAGACACAGGCTGAACTGCAGACTGAGAATGCCCAGAAGGCATCGAGGTATGGTAATACCAACGATCAAAAACAGCAAATAGTTTTTGATGTTCTGATGATGTTAATATGTACCAAGCACTGCTCCCAGCACTTCATGTGAATTAATTTAATCTTAATAATCTTCTGAAGTTGTTAAAGCTTTTACTGCCATTTTGTTTGAAACTCCCATCCAAAAATGTCATCCTTCCTGCCTCTTATTTGCCTGGAAAACACAAAGGAAGAACTGAGTTCCACAAAAACTCGACAGCTGCTGTCAATACCCACTATCCAAGGGACAGATGTTTGGCACAGCAGCTATGCCTGCATCCCATAACGGGTACCTGATTTGAGTCCTGGCTCCTCTCTTCTGGTCCAGCCTCCTGGAAGGCAGCAGGTGATGGCTCAGGTGCTGGGGTCCCTGCCACTCATGTGGGAGACCTGGATGGACTTCTGGACCTTTAGCTCTGGCCTGACCTAGCCCTGGCTGTTGCAGGCATTTGGGCAGCGAACCAACAGGTGGCAGTGCACTTTCTCTTTCTCTCTCTGCCTTTCAAATAAAGTGGAAATAAACTTGTAAAAATTTTAAAAAGAATATCTACTATCCAAGTAATTCAATAGTTATCAAACTAAAAATGTGATACTTTTTCCCACAAGAAATTCCTCTGCATGATATTACTTACTATCAAAAAAAGATGATAAAACAAACAATTGACACTCTTTATAATATTAAGAGCCCAAAGAAAAGGAATCAAATGAACTGAGCTTTCCACGCTGATGGTGAACATTCCTAAAACCTGTCTGTAGGCAAACACCAACCCCATAAAGTGACACAGTGTAAGAGGAAAGATTCTCTGTACGCCCAGGGAAAGTGGCATTGTGACAGGAGGCAGAATGGTGATGGTGGGCAGACTAAGCCGATTTTCCAGAAAAAGATTAAATCTAGAAAGATGATTGCACTCAGGTTTGAGTGTGTTGAGCCCAACTGCAGATCTAAGAGAACACTGGCTGCCAAGTAAACATTTCTAACTTGGAAGAGATAAGAAGAGAAAGGGCAAGTGACTCAGTTTTAAGCTTCATCTTGTGTTTTATTATGAAGACAATAGAATCTAAAGGTTACTATTCACTTCCCCAGAAAAAAGAATGAACTTCCAGGATGTTTTCAGCCACCTCCCAATTGGAACAAAGCAGCATTCCAGAACCGTACCTGCTGGAGCCATCTTTCATATGGACTTTGGCGTAAAGAACGTCCACCATGCCAGGATCATCGTTCATGTATTCTATCCCTGCCATCTCCACTTCCAGGGGCTTGCCCCCAGAAATGTCACTGCAAAGGAAAAGCAAGATTTTTTAGCTTCTTAAGCTAAGGGGGTTATTACATTTTGAATATGGTTAACATACAAAGTCAAATATTACATAATGAAATGGTTGTGGTTTTTTCTTACCACATTATCCGTCCTTCTAATTTCAAAATGAATAAAGGTTGGATGCACATAAACTGGCAAACACCAGAGGTGTTTCCATCATCCCACTCTACTTACCCCAATACCCGTTCATGCGTTCTAATGAAAAGGCCAAGGGATGATGACAAAGACCCTTACTGTGCTGGCTCATCTCCCAGGGCCATTCTTTCTTCATCAATTTGACAAGTTGCAAACAGCATTTCACTTACATAACAACACTACACTTGTATACTGATATCACATGCGTAACAGCAATCTGGCAGTATTTATAAAAAGCCGTCAAGAATGGAAACCCTTTGCCCAAGCAACTTCATTTTTGGAGCCCATCCTAAGGAAACAATTACAAATTGAACTACATAACCAACCATATCTGATGAAGCAAAGCTCTTCTTTACAAAGGAATTCCAACTAACAAATGCAGAAGGAATAACAAAATTAGAATATCCCATTTTGCAACTCCTGATAAAATAAGGGATCTAGACAAAGAACACCAGTGGTGGCCAAAACTTGGGCAAAAGGCAGTGGACAACATAAAGAAACCACTATAAAGGGGTGGGGAGTTCTCTAAACAATGGAACATGATGGTCAAACCTGAAACCAATGATAAGCACACAAAAAAGAAACAAGCAGATACTATGTGCATCTTGACACAGTTCACTAATACAGACATAGCTATGAGAAATAATTTGTGCATAGGGTTTTGACTGAGACATTGTTTAGAGTAACACAAGACTAGCAACAAAATCCAATAACATGAGACTGCTTAGATAAATTACATTCTATGAGCAACAAATAAAACACACATGTGAGTATGGGAGCTTTTTAGGCACTGATTTGGGGCAATTACATATTTAAGTTTAAGATTTATTATTTGAGAGGCAGAGTTACAGAGAGGGAGAGAGAGTTATCTTCCATTTGCTAGTTCATTCCCCAAATGGCCACAATGACCACGGCTGTGCCATGCTGAAGCCAGGAGCCCAGAGTATCGTTCCAGTCTCCCACATGGGTGCAGGAACCCAAGCACTTGGACCATTCTCCTTTGCTTTCCCAGGTGAATTAGCAGGGAGTTAGATCAGAAGTGGAGCCACTGGGACATGAACAGGTACCCCTATGGGATGCTGGTGTTGCAAGTGGCAGCTTAACCCACTATGCCACTACACCAGCCCCTATTTAAGTTTTTTAAAAGATACATAATGGAGGGGCTGGTGCTGTGGCACAGTGGGTTAGTGCCCTGGCCTGAAGTGCCGGCATCCCACATGGGTGCCAGTTTGAGACCCAGCTGCTCTACTTCCAAGTCAGCTCTCTGCTATGGCCTGGGAAAGCAGTACAAGATGGCCCAAGACCTTGGGCCTCTGCACCTGCGTGGGAGACCCGGAAGAAGCTCCTGGCTCCTGGCTTCAGATCAGTGCAAGCTCCAGCCATTGTGGCCAATTGCGGAGTGAACCATCACATGGAAGACCTCTCTCTCTCTCTCTGCCTCTCCTCTCTCTCTCTCTGTGTACTCTGACTTTCAAATAAATAAATAAATCCTTAAAAAAAAAAGATATACAATGGAGGCTAGCATTATAACACAGTGCGTTAAGTTGCTACTTGTGATGCTGGTATCTCATATCAGAATTCCAGTTCAAGTTCCGGCTGCTCTGTTTCCCATCCAGCTCCCTGCTAATATACCTGGAAAAGAGGGCCCAAGTACTCCCACACATGTGGGAGACGTGGATGGAGTTCCAGGCTCCTGGCTTCAGCCTGGCCCAGCACTAGCAATTACAGCCATTTGGAGAGTGAACCAGCAGATTAAAGATCTCTTTCTCTCTCTGTAACTATGCCTTTCAAATAAATTAAGTTTAAAAAAAAAAGTGCATAAGATTGTGTATATGCAGTACAAAAGATGACAGTAAGAATATATATATATATAAATATTCTGTAGACACATATTTGTCCATATACAAAATCTCAGGAAGGACACTACTTGTCTCTAAAGAGGAAAGCAGCAATCAGCAGGATCGCAGTGAGAAGGAAACTCTTCACTGCATATTCCTTGCTGCTTTAAAATTTTGAACCACGTAGGGGTTGGAGTTGCTGTGTAAGGGGTTGAGCCACCGCCTGCGATGCTGGCACTCCATATGGTCACCAGTTCGAATCCCAGCTGCTCCACCTCAAATCCATTTCCCTGACAATGTGCCTCAGAAAGCAGTGGAAGATGTCCCAAGGACTTGGGCCCCTGCACCCATCTGGGAGATCCAGATGAAGTTCCTAGTTCCTGGCTCCTTTCTTTAGCTTGGCCCAGCCCTGGCATTGTGACCATTTGGGGAGTGAACAAGCAGGTGGACAATCTCTCTCCCTTTCTCTCTGTAACTCAGTCTTTCAAATAAATCTTTAAAAAAACATTTTTTACATGTAGATATTTCATCAAAATGTTAAAATAAAAATATGAAAAAGAAGTCAAACACAAAAGTTAATTATTCTATTTATAGGGTGTTAAAGAATAAGTAAAACTAGTTTATTGCAAAACAGTGTTTTTTCCTGGGAGAAGTGAATTTACTGGAAAATGGCATGGGGAAGATGGCAGTGTTCTACATCTCAATTTGGGTAGGGTATATGGTATATATACATTTGTCAAAATTTATCAGCTACCCTTAAGATGTATGCATTTTACTACAATTACACCCCAAAGAACAAAGGTACATACAGGCACACAAAGGTTTATACTCCAAGGTATTATGATATACTGTTTACATATATTTGTATGTATACAGTACATTTATCCATATACATATTTATATGCACTTATACATATACAATTATCCTTTTTTTTTTATTTGACAGGTAGAGTTATAGACAGTGAGAGAGAGAGAGAGAGAAAGGTCTACCTTCCGTTGGTCCACTCCTCAAATGGCCTCTACGGCCGGCGCTGCGCTGATCCAAAGCCAGGAGCCAGGTCCTTCCTCCTGGTCTCCCATGCGGCTGCAGGGGCCCAAACACTTGGGCCATTCTCTACTGCCCTCCCAGGCCACAGCAGAGAGCTAGACCGGAAGAGGAGCAACCGGGACTAGAACCCAGCGTCCATATTGGATGCTGGCCCTGCAGGCGGAAGATTAACCAAGAGAGCCATAGCACCGGCCCCAATTATCTTTTTTTTCAATTGAAGAGCATCAGAGAGAGAGAGATTTCCCATTTGCTGATTCACTCCCCAGGGGCACATAACGGCCAGAGCGGGGCCAGACCAAAGCCAGGAGCCGGGAACTCAATCCAAGTCTCTCAGGTGAATGGCTGGGATCCACCTACTTGAGCCATTACTACTGCCTACCAGGGTCTGCATCTGTAGTAAGCCAGAACCAAGACAAAACCAGGCACTCCAATACAGCATGCAGGTGTTCTAACCACTCAGCCAAATGCATGCCCCAATAGTAACCATCTTTAAAGGGTAAGATTACAAGTAATACTTTATTTATAAGTTTTGACTCTTCTAAAATTAACATGTATTAATTGTAGGTTAAGTAAAACCCTACCATCCTGTTTTCTTCCCAGACTTCTTACACGGACTTCTACTTCAACCATAAAAGGCCTTGTTGTGCTAAGCCAAAACCCAGCTAAAACTCAACTCTGCACATGCCTTCTGCAAGCCCCTTGAGGCAAGACATTCTCTCCATCTTACCCCCCTATGTCTCCAGCACTTGGCACAATGCCTTATATTAAATGGGTGGTATACTCTAAAGGGGAAGGTTGTTCTAGAGAATTGTGAGATCGATGTGATAACACATAGATTGTCACTGGAAAGAAAAATGTGATACGGAATCAAAGACAAAGCATTTTAGGACTCATCAAAGGTGAATTCCTGGGGCCTGCGTTGTAGTGCAGCAGGTTAAGCAGCCACCTGCAACGCCAGCATCCCATGTGAGCGCCAATTCCGGTCCTGGCTGCTCTGCTTCTGATCCAGCTCCCTGCTAATGCACCTGGGAAAGCAACAGAAGACAGCCCAAGTGTTTGGGCCCCTGCCACCCACATGGGAGACCCAGATGGAGTTCTTAGCTCCTAGCTTTCAGCCTGACCCAGCCCTGGCTGCAACAACCATTTGGGGAGTGAAACAGCTAATGAAAGATCTCTCTTTCTCACTCGCTTGCTTTTTTCTCTCTCTTCTGTGATTACAAGTAAATAAGTAAATAAATCTAAAAATACACAAATAAATCTAAAAATAAATAAATAAATAAATGAAACAGGATGCCAAGCCTGCTTTGTAAGAAGAAACAGAAACTCTTTCAGCCCACTGCTAAGACTTCCAATAGAGAGATGAAAGGGCAGGAGAGGGGTCTACCTGATACTGCTCTTTGTCTTAGTGGCCAAAGTATTCCACTCGCAACACAGTGAGCATACCTGCCAACTGAGTGACACCTGAGGCAGTAACTGGACACTCTCCTTTGTTCACAGGTATGTTCTCTCCTGTTCTTCTCTCCCTTCTAGTCCCTCTTACACTTCTCATTTGGTGCAACCTTGGATCTACTGGGCATGCTCTGGCAGTGAGGTGACACTGGAGCCACACCGGTGGGGTGTATCTGTCAGAGCACACACTCGGAGCCACTGTGCTGTCTGTGCCCTGCATCTCACAAAGAAAAGTCACAAGGGACACATTTAGAGCTTCAGAATTTACTCAACACTGAATAATTCATTCAAACTCTATTGAGCTACATAGCCTTTAGCCAAAGAGTTGAAATGAAAATCCTGTTTCTGATCAGATAGTATTCTCTAAATCCAAGAACAAACTTCCAAACTTAAAACATTCCCTACCCACTTCTTTATAACATCTATATAGCACCACAGTTTTAATCAAATAAAGCCACATTCATTTTAAGACTTGAATTTTAAAAGGCATCAAATTAAGCTATAGCACATTATATACAGGTCTACTCATTTTTCTTGTTTTTCTTTTCTGATTTTAATTTTGGATCTTTAGTCCATAAAAGGCTCAGGTTAGGGGCAGGCATTTAGTGCAGCAATTAAGACAAAGCAGGTGTGGCACAGTGGGTTAAGCTACCACTCCCATCCAACACTGGAGTGCTGGTTTGCGTTCTGGTTACTCCACTTTCGATCCAGCTCCCTGCTAATGTGCCTGGGAAAGCAGGTGGAAGATGACTCAAGTGCTTGGGACCCTACCCCGATATGGGAGATCAGGATGGAGTTCAGGGCTTCTGGCTTTAGCAAATGTTGTAGTCATTTGGGGAGTGAACTAGCTGATGGGAGAGGTCTCTCTCCCTCTCCTGTCATTCTGCCTTTCAAATAAATAAATCTTTAAAAAATAAAATAAAAAAATTTAAAAAGACACCCTTTAGGTCTCCTGCATCCCATAACAGAAGGCCTGGGTTCTAGTCTTGGTTCTGCTTTGGATTCCAGCTTCCTGCCGATGCACACCCTGGCAAGCAGCAGATAAGAGTTCAAATACTTGGGTCCCTGCCATCCAAGTGGGAGACCCTGACTTGAGTCCCTGAGTCCTGGCTTCACCCTGGCCCTGGCAGGTATCCTGCAGATATTTGGGGAGTGAACCAGTAGATGGACAATCTCTCTCTCTCTCTGCCTTTCAAATAAATAAAAATAAGCTTCTTTGAAAAAACATAATTACTTACCAATGCAATTAAAATTTTTAAGGGTTCATATTAGAAATGCCATTTTTCACTGACATTCTTTCTAAGTATAAGAAATGCAAAGGCTGAGATCAAAGAGCAAGAAGGAATAAAAAAAAAAGTTAGATGATAAAATTCATGCACCTGGGCTTCAACAAAGGTACTTTCCTTCCACTTCGGAGAAGCCGCTTCCTTTAGGGAAACAAGGCACCTCTAACCTGAGCAAACACCCAGCTCTGAGCCTCATCCTCCCTCTCCGCAGCGCATCAGTTCTGCACGACACGCTCTTCAGATGGTGCATGGGGGGGGGGGGGGGGTTGGATAAGAGGGCAGGGAGGCTCACTTCATTTTATTCGCTGGTTTCAAATCTTTCCAGCTTTCTGAAAAGAGCATCTTCAAACAAATTTTTGCACGCACTGCAGATTTTTGGCAGGGTAACTTTGTCCTATTTCAAAAGCTTTGCTGAATTTGAAAAACTACAATTACTATTTTCATCCTGTCATGTCAAAAATTCTTGGGGACTATTAAAACCGCTCTTTATTCCCTAAGCACACCAACTCTGACATGCTGAAAGGGTTCAGCTTTGGCATTTAGTCACAAAAGGCACTAAGTGACAAAGGGGGGAACACAGTTAAATCTTCACATAGCTTAGAATAAAGCTTGGGTGATTAAAAACCTAAGGCCTGATTTCATAAGGTAAAAAGAATAAATGCTTCTCCAAACAAATATTTTATCTGCATTTCTTCTTAGCAGTGTTATCCCCATGACAGCCAAGGAAATGCAGCTCCTTTCCAGCTAGTTTGGCAAATGTAAACCAGAAATAAGTTAAAAGATCAGAACTGATCCTCAAACCAGGTAAAATTGCCCTGCTCTGTAACATTCATTTTATACAGGGGAAATTGCAAATATCTAATGACAAACACCAGATTATTCCAAATTTTAGGTTAGACTGAGAGAAAACAGCAATGAACAAAGAATAAAAAAAAATGTTCTTTGCTCTCAGGACAGCCCGGTTGCAATCCTGATCAGCCCACGATTTTACTCAAGAAAAGTATCTTACCTTCAAAACAATGAAAAAGGCTACACTGGCCTACCTGTAAGTCATTGTATTATACAGTTTTGTGTACAACGCACCTAGGGGAAACTTTTCCGCAGTTGTACCTCGCTCCACCCGATGAACCCACTTCTACAAGGCCGTGTTAGAACGGCACAGGACATGTTTGTAACATTAGAATGAGTCAGCGCTCAAATTTCTCTTCTCCATCAATCTTAAGTTTGTGGAGTAAAGGGAGAGAGGGAAAGAGATGGTTCTTTGAAATAAAGCTGTTACATCAGATGTATGTGTAAATCAAAATTTTACAATAAATAGGAATAACAACTCTGCCCTCAGAACAGCAGTGTTTTCTCTGAGTTAAAACAGACTGCTTAGAAGGTTTCCGATATTCTTATTGAAGCAAATAAAACTCACTGTACTTAAAAAAAGAAAAATATATTCAGTGTTTCTGAAACATATGAAGATTGTCCTAGAAAGTCATGTTGTGATGCATATGTTACTGTGGTGGGCAGCATAATGCCCCCACCCCAGAAATGCCCACATCATACTTTCTGGAATTTGTAAACATGCTGCCTTACATGGCAAAGAGACTTTTGTAAATGTAATTATGGCTAAGGAACTTGATATAGGGCTATCAGCCTGGAGTACCTGGGTGGGCTCAATCAAATCCAATGAATCCAGAGCCAGCACTGCGGTGTAGCAGGTAAAGCCACCACCTGCAGTATTGGCATCCCATATGGACGCTGGTTCAAGTCCCAGCTGCTCCACTCCAGATCAAGCTCTCTAATATGACCTGGGAAAGCAGTAGAGGATGGCCCAGGCCCTTGAGTCCCTGCCCCCATGTGGGAGACCCGAAAGAAGCTCCTGGTTCCTGGCTTTAAATCGATGCAACTCCAGCCATTTCTGCCAACTGGGGAGTGAACCAGCAGATGAAAGACCTCTCTCTCTCTCTCTCTCTCTCTCTCTCTGCCTCTCCTTCTCTGTGTAACTCTTCAGATAAATAAATAAATCTTTTTAAAAAAATCCAATGAATCCTTAAAGGCAGACAACTGTGCCTGCTATGGCCTTAGAGATTATGACAACAGAGGGGCAAGGGGGTAATGTGGCTAAAGTTGAAGATGGAGGAAGAGTGCCAATAGTGGACAGCCTCTACAAACTGGGCTTCAAAGGAATGGAAACGGGTTTTACCCTAGAGCCTCCAGAGAGCCAAGGAAACCTGTACCAGTCATCTGACACCTAAGATGGGACAGGCATTTGGTCAGCGGGTAAACTGCCACTGGGGAGGCCCAATCCTGTATCAGAATGCCCAAGCTGACAGCCTGGCTCCACTCGACATTCCAGCTTCCTGCTAATATGCACCCTGGCAATTGAAGTCACTGCCACCGATGTTGCAGACCTGGATGGAGTTTCTAGCTTCTGGCATTTGCCTGCCCCAGCTTTGGCTGTTGTGCACCTCTGGGGAATGAACCAGCAGATGGGAGACAATGATTTTTCTCTCCATAAGAATCTGTAAATCAATGCTTCAAATGCATTTTAAACATTTCAGACAGTGGTTCAAGGTTTAGTGTTACAAACAGGTGAGTCAACAAATCCCTTTCCTATGTCATCCAGCTCCCCAGTGCAAACACAGGTCCATGATATCCAACTGCAGCCAGCCCAGCTTGAACCCCTTCCCACTCCTGAGCATCACTCACTTAATAAACTCCTCTTTGCACTGCTGTAGCATTTCACATGTCTGCTGGATCTCTTCCTCACTCAGCAGTACCAACATCCCAATAGTTAGGTGAAGCTTTTTGGGATTCTGGAAAATGGTGCTATCAACTCCATGATCCTGTTACCAAACAGAGAAAAACAAATAACAGCCCATACAAAAGTTACTATCAGGAACAAAACTGAGACCCCAGAAAGAAACCCATACATTTATGGCCGATTACTTTAAAAAAAAAGATTAATTTTTATTTATTTTGAAAGTCAGAGTGACAGAGACAGAGAGAAACAGAGACTGATCTTCCATCCACTGGCTTACTTCCCAGAAGGCCAGAATAGCCAGGGCTGAACCAGGCCAAAGCCAGGATCCAGGAACTTCATCCAGGTCTCCCACATGGATGCAGGGGCCCAAGCACTTGGACCATTTTCCACTGCTTCTCCCAGGCCATTACCAGGGAGCTAGATGGGAAATGAAGCAGCCAGGACTTGAACCAGTCCCCATATGGGAAGCCAGAATCACAGGCAGTGGCTTTACCCACTACACCACAATGCTGGGCCCTGGGCCAATTGATTTTCAACAAGGTGCCAAGACCATTATACAGAGAAAGACTAATATTTTCCAAAAATCATGCCAGGACAACTAAATAAACATAAAGAATAAAGCTGGACCACTATCTCATACTATATACAAAAGTCAATTCAAAATGGATTAGTGATCTAAATATAAAAGTTAAAACTAGGCAGGTATTTGGCCCAGCAATTAAGATCCTATATGCTCCCAATTCTAGCTTCCTGCTAACACACACCCTGGAAGGCAGCACATAATGGCTCAAGTAGTTGGGTCCCTACCACTAATACAGAAGACTAGAACTGAGGGCTATTCTTGCCTGGCCCAGCCCAGGCTGTTGTAGGCACAGGGGAGTGAACGAGCAAGTGGAGATCTGTCTCTTTCTATGCCTTTCAAATAAATTTTTTTTAAAAAATATTTATTTATTTGAAAGAGTTACAGAGAGAGGTAGAGCCAGAGAGAGAGAAAGGTCTTCCATCCGCTGGTTCACTCGCCAAATGACCGTAACGGCCAGAGATGAGCTGATCCAAATCCAGGAGCCAGGAGCTTCTTCTGGGTCTCCTACCCGGGTGCAGAGGTCCAACCACTTGGGCTATCTTCTATCGCTTTCCCAGGCCATAGCAGAGAGTTGGATCAGAAATGGAGCAGCCGGGACTTGAACTGGCATGCATAAGGGATACTGGCACTGCAGGCAGCTGCTTTACTCACTATGCCACAGTGCCAGCCCCTCAAACTTTTAAAAAAGCTAAAATCATAAAACTCTTAGAAAAAAACAAGGAATTAAATCTTTATGACCTTGGATTTGGCAATGAATTCATTTATAAATGTAACAGCAAAACCATGGCAACAAAAGAGAAAACAGATAAATGAGACTTCATCAAAATTGAAACTTTTGTGCAATACTATCAAACTCACAGAATGGGAGAAACACTTGTAAATAATTTATCTGCAACATCTGGTCTCGAGAATATATTTTTAAAAACTTTTTACAACTCAGCAACCAAAAAAAAAAAATCTGATTTCTAAAATGGAGGGCCAGCACTATGGCATAGCAAGTTAAACCATCACTTATGATGCCAGCATCCCATATCCAAGTACCAGTTTGAGGTCTAGATGCTCCACTTCTGATCTAGTCTCTTGCTAACGTGCCTGAGAAGGCAGCAGAACATGGCCCAAGTAATCAGGCCCTAGCTACACACATGGGAGCCCAGGATGGAATTCCTGGCTCTTGACATCAGCCTGGCACAGACCTGGCTATTGTGCCCATTTGGAAAATAAATTAGTGAATGGAAGATATCTCTCTCTCTCTCTCTCTCAGTGAATGGAAGATATCTCTCTCTCTCTCTCTCTCTCTCTCTCTCTCTCTCTCTCTCTCTATTTTGTCTTTCAAATAAATAAATAAAGGGAAAAGGACTTAAATAGACATTCCTCCAAACAAGAAATATAAATGGCTAACATGAACATGAAGAAGCTCATCATCAGTCACTTTGGGAAATGCAAATCAAAACCACAAGGAAGTACCATTTCATTAGTCTGGCTATAATCAAAATCATGGCAAATAAGTGCTGGTGAGGATATGCAGAAATTAGAACCCTCATGCAATGCTGGTAGCTATGTAATATGATCCAGCCACTGTGAAAAATGTTTTGGCAATTTCTCAACAAGTGAAATCAAAAAATTACCTATGACCTGGCAATTCTATTCCTGGGTTTATGCTCAAAAGAACTGAAAAGGGGACTTAAGCAAATACACATACACATATTTCAAAAAGCACTATTCACAATCGCCAAAAAAAGAAAATAACCCAAATATCCATCAACAAAAACATGATGTTGAAGTATTTATACACACACACACACACACACACACAAATACACATACAGAATATTATGCAGCCATAAAAAGGAGTAAAGCACTGGTATCTGTTATAACACGGATGTCCCTTAAAAAATTATGCTAAGACCCATATCGGGGTGCAGCAGGTTAAGCTGCAGCTTAAGACAGCCAGTTCAATTCCGGGCTGCTCCACTTCAGATTCAACTCCCTGCTAATGCACCTGGCAAGGGAGCACATGATGCTCCAAGTACTTGGGTCCTCTCCACCATGACTGTTGCAATCATCTGGGGAATCAACCAATGGATAGATCTCTGTCTCTCCCTCTCTCTCTGTAGCTCTGTTCTTTTAATTAAATAAGTAAATCTCTAAAAAACAAAAAGAATTATGCTCAGTGAAATAAGTCAGACACAGAATGTTACACTTATATGATTCTATTAACAGGAAATATCTGCATCAGGTATCCACAGGTGGTCATCAAGGGCTAGAAGGAGAGCTGACTAGGGAACAACGGTTTTTTTTGTTTTTGGTTTTTTTTTTTTAGATTCATTTATTTATTTGAAAGTCAGAGTTACACAGAGAGAGCAGCAGAAGCAGAGAGGGAGAGGAGAAATCTTCCATCTGCTGGTTCACTTTCCAATTGGCTGCAACAGCCAGTGCTGCACCAATCCGAAGCCAAGAGCCAGGAGCTTCTTCCAGGTCTCCCACGCAGCCGTAAGGGCCCAAGGACTTGGGCCATCTTCTACTGCTTTCCCAGGCCACAGCATAGAGCTGGATCGAAAGGGGAGCGACAGGGACTCAAACCGGTGCCCATATAGGATGCCAGTACTGCAGGTGGTGGTTTTACCTGCTATGCCACAGCACCAGCCCAGGGAACAACTGTTTAACCAATTTGTGATTTCCTTTTGGGGTGATAAAAATGTATGGTATGATAATAGAACTGATAGTTGTACAACTTCATGAATGTACTAAATACCATCAAACTGTTCTCTTTAAAATGTTTTTTAAAAGATTTATTTACTTGAAAGGCCGATTTACAGAGAGACGGAGGGAGGGAGAGAGGGAGAGAGGGAGGGAGGAAGACATAGAGAGAAAAGAGGTACCTTCCATCCACTGGTTCACAGGAATGGATAGTCACAATGGCTAGAGCTAGCCAGACCAAAGCCAGAAAGTTTTATCCAGGTCTCTCACGTGGGTACAGGGGCCCAAGCACTTGGGCCAGCCTCCGCTTTCTAAGGTGCATTAGCATCTTTCCCAGGTATATTAGCAGAGAGCTGGATCGGAAGTAGAGCAGCCAGGATGCAAAGCTGTGCTCTCATGGGATGCCAGTACTGCAGGCAGCAGCTGTACCCACTGTGCCAGAACACTGGCTTTTAAAATGGTCTTTATGTTATGTCAATTTCACCTTGATGAAAAAATTTTTTTAAGATTCATTTACTTGAAAGTCAGAGCTACAAGGGAAAAGGGGGTGAGGTCTACAGAGAGAGAGATACTATCTTCCACCTGCTGGTTCACTCCCCCAGATGGCTGCAACAGTCAGGGTTAGACCAGGCCAAAGCCAGGAGCCAGGAGCTTCATCTGGGTCTCACATGTTGGTGATAGTGTTGGGCCATCTTCCACATTTCTCCTAGGCCACCAGCAGGGAGCTGTATCAGAATGGAGCAGCCAGAACATGAATTGGCACCCACATGGGATGCCAACATCACAAGTGGAAGTTTTACTCACTATACGACAACACCAGCCCCCAGCCCCAACTTTTTTTTTCTTAAAGAAAGGAAATACTGGTCTGACACAATAGAACAGCTCAGAAAAATAGAATGCCATGAAATGTAGGTTCTGGGAAAGATGTGGGATAAACAGGCAGAAAGTTAGTTTGGCATCACCGAGCTGAAGTCACAAGGTCCCCATGTGTAACTCTATCCTCCTACTTTTCAATCAAAATGCCCCCTTTCCCAGGACACACCTGTTTCATCTGGGACCTGGGGGAAAGACGCCATGGAAATATGGATACTGAGCTCCCCATGGAATTTACAGAGGTACCCTAAAATTTCCACGAGGCTTCACACCTCTCCTGGCATACCCCCACCCTCACCTCATAAAAGAGGCCAACAGGTGCGGAGAGTTCTCCTCAGAAGCTGGAGGGATCGCGGGGTGACCTCCCTGCCACCCCTTCCCCATTTTCTCTCCTGTCAGGCTAATCTTCCGGCCCACTGCCCGCGAATGACAGCTATCTCTCTGCCTGGGCAACCTATGCTCACATGTGTGTTTGCTTTTTCACCTTCTGAGTAAAATTTACCTACATATGTCAGCACTAAGAATGCTTAGCTTTGTGCATGACAAGAGCATGTACTTAAAGGTAAGTACACCCTCTCACCCACTTCAGTAGTTTTAGGATCCTTTGGATATGTATGAAATGCTGAGTCATAGGGTAATGCTATGCTTAACTTTTCAAAGAACACCAAAGAAAGGTCCATATTGGTGGCAGAATTGTACATTCCTAGTAGCAATATGAGGGGTCTCCAGAAAGTTTGTGGGAAATGCATATGATGAATAAACTACATAGTTTCAAAATTTTTTTGCAACAAAAAAAATCTTTTTTAATTCCATTTTCCTTAAGCTTTTTGAAGTACTTCCACACATTAAGATTCCTGTTTCTTCATAGCTTTGATCACAGTTATTTCCTTTTTAAAAATTGTCAACATTGGGGGGCCAGGGCTGTGGCC